CCTCGCCAGAGAATCCGGTCACACCAAGCGGGCACACGACATTTTCCACTGGAAGGAGATAGGATTGAGATCAGGGATACTCTGGAAGCCTGCAGGATGCTCACCACGTTTTACCCCCCTCCAGGATCTCCGGGCCAAACAAATTTCAATTCATGAGATCCATCCTTCTGTATGGGAATCTATCCTCCCATTTTTTTTTTGGTACAGGACTGTTGAGTCTGAGGCAGGCTAGTCCATTTGGGTGGGTGGAAAGTGCTGATTTAACTATCGTGGTGTTGGGGGTGGGGGGAGATTCTTACCTGGAATCCCAGCGATCTGTTTTAGAGTCGTATTTGTACGTGGGGATGAACTTGATTTCGCCTTCTGTGAAATCGGCAAAAGCTGCTTTTTGGGTACGCTGAATATTCAGCTGCAAGCAAAAGGCAACAACCGGTCAAGCCGACGTCACCCAGACTGTCTATCCCAGGGGTAGGCAACCTTGGCTCTTTTATGACTGGTGGACTTCCACTCCCAGAATTCCTGAGCCAGCATGGCTCAGCTTGGAAACCTCTCCCTTTCCCCTCAGCATGGCTGGCTCAGGAATTCTGGGAGTTGAAGTCCACGCATCATAAAAGAGCCAAGGTTGCCTACCCCTGACCTAGAGGAACATATGAAAGCATAATTAATGTTAATTAATGTAGACTTTATTAGTTTAGAGGAGGGGTAGGCAACCGTGGCTCTTTGATGACTCGTGGACTTCCACTCCCAGAATTCCTGATCCAGCATGGCTCAGCTTGGAAACCTCTCCCTTTCCCCTCAGCATGGCTGGATCAGGAATTCTGGGAGTTGAAGTCCACGAGTCATAAAGGGGCCATAGTTCCCCCATGCTAGCTCAGGAATTCTGGGAGTTGAAGTCCACCAGTCATAAAAGAGCCAAGGTTGCCTACCCCTGGTCTATCCCAAAAGGTGCTTTTTCCAAGAGGCAACAGGACTTTTTTTTAGTTTTCTTAGAAGGCGTTTTGCTTCTCATCCGAGAAGCTTCTGTTTTTGTTCTGGAGAAGCTTCTTGGATGGGAAGTGACACATTTTCAAGGGGGAAAAAAAGGCAAGAGAAAATCCAGTTGCCTCTTGAAAAAGCACCTTTGGGACCACCATGACCTGGATGACTGAGACTCTCCATAGACACCCAAACTGTCCAGTATTGACATTGGGGACAGGCTAGTGAAGACCTTAGACTGCCTGTCACATGGTTTTGAAGGTGAACCATCCTTATTCAAAAGGCTCAGAATGTAAAAAAGCACATTGTGCCTTCTTCTGTTTCTCTCACATCTCTTAACACAGTGGTTCTCAACCTGTGGGTCAGGACCCCATTTGGGGTCGATCGACCATTTCACAGGGGTCGCCAAGCAAGGCTGTCTGCCATTTTTTTTGTCCGCCATTTTTCCCCCCTTTTCCGGCGGGTGCCTTACCTCCCTTGGGCTGGGCCAGCTGGTGGTCAGCCTGCTACGTCTCTGCCGCTTGCCAGCTACGCCTCGGCCGGCGCAGGGGGTGGAACCACGCATGTGCGGCGCTCCCAGGCAGGGAAAGTCCTCGACTTACGACCGGTTTAGTCCTCAACTTATGACCGGTTTAGTCCTCGATATACGACTGGTTTAGTCCTCGACTTACGACCGGTTGGGGTCGCGGCATTAAAAAGGTTGAGAACCACTGTCTTAACAGGAACATCAAACGCAAACTAGTTGGGGCCTAGGCACGGAGGAACGGCTGCTGGCCACGAAACAATGAAAGGGAGCTTAAACTTCCAAACAGCCAATACAAGCCGGAGTTGGATGAATGTAATCCAAGCCTTTACACGAACCACAATGACCAACATTAGATAAATGAATTTCAGACGGCACAACCATCCCATGTTCACAAATCCTAATTATTAAATCGTCGGATGAAGAAGGCCTAAGCCCGTCTCGCAGGGGAGAGACCGTATCCGGGAGGAGGGGGATAGATATTTCAATTTTAAAAACAAAACAAAACTTCCAGGGAATTCCTGCCTACCTTCCCCTCTCACCTGGTCAAACGTGAGCAGTTTCTGGAGCTCGTTTTTACTGATTAGACTTTTTACGTCGTTGGCGTCAGGGAGGCAAAGCCGGTAGTTCAGATCTCCCAGCCAGATGACAATTCTGAAGGATACAGGAAAGAGGAGAGAACCTGTTATCGCTCGCTTAGCCCGGAGAAGAACCGCTGGGCTACTATCTGGAAAGTTCTAGAAGAGGATGACAAAATAAGGTGGTAACACTGCACGGTTCCTCCTGATCTCTTTCCAAGAACCTTTAAAACTCTTTGTGGTTTTGGAGCAGAAGATCTGCAAAACTACCGGCCCAAACTCACTGATACGTATCTTCCATGATGCTCCTTCCCTGGATACCTTCTGCTACCTGAGTCAGAACATGAGCATCACGATCACGCAAAAAACGTCTTTTTGTGGCATTTTTGACGCATTTGCATTTGGAAACAGCCTTTCTGGCAAAGTTCCTCTGATGCACATCGTGATATAATTTCTGTGCTAAAAAACAATAATAATAATAATAATCTTTTTTTGAAGGTCCCCTGAATCTCTTTTCTCTGAATTCTGCAAGACTGTCTACGAACAATTAACCAGTGGAACCACCTGCCTCCAGAAGCAGTGAATGCTCCAACACTGGAAGTTTTTAAGAAGAGACTGGACAGCCATTTGTCCGAAATGGTACAGGGTTTCCTGCCTGAGCAGGGGGTTGGATTCGATGACCTCCAAGGTCCCTTCCAACTTCATCATCATCATCATCATCATTATTATTATTATTATTATTATTATTATTTATAGCAGTGTTCCAATATCTAAGGGGCTGCCACAAAGAAGAGGGAGTCAAGCTATTCTCCAAAGCACCTGAAGGCAGGACAAGAAACAAGGGATTGAAACTAATCAGGGAGAGAAGCAACCTAGAACTAAGGAGAAACTTCCTGACAGTTAGAACAATTAACCAACGGAACAACCTGCCTCCAGAAGCTGTGAATGCTCCAACGCTGGAAGTTTTTAAGAAGAGACTGGACAGCCATCTGTCCGAAATGGTATAGGGTTTCCTGCCTGAGCAGGGGGTTGGACTAGATGACCTCCAAGGTCCCTTCCAACTCTATTATTATTATTATTATTATTATTATTATTATTATTATTATTATTATTATTATTATTATTATTATTATTATTACTATTATTATTAACCTGCATCCCTTACTATATTGTTTGGACGTCTTATTAAATTCTTTCAGAGTTGTTGTACTTCTGATCTGCCCCACTGAGAATGGTCTGCAGTAAAACTCAGAAAATAAATTAGGATGTAATTACTGTTGTTCGTTAGCACTTAACAGCGTGGTGTTTATTACGGCTTCCCTTACTGCCCCATCCCAAGTAGGCAGTTCTTGGCCAAGGAGACTCAAAAGAAACCTCAGCCAAGCAATGAGAAAGACAAGAGTCCATTCATTTCTCCAAACTCTGCTCGCCAGAATCAGAAGGGAAAAACCCCCTAACAAAAACAGAGTTCGTATCACGTATTATGCTATCTAATCTAAAAAAAGCCCAATCTTAGTTTATTTAAGCACGCCACAGATATGACCCAACTTAAAATATCTTTCTGTGGCCGTGAATTCTTTCTTGATGGCTTGGAGGTCAATGACTGTGTTTATTTCACTGAGCCCAACCTATCGCTTTCTGCTTTCCCTCAACCAGTCAGCAACGCAGCCCCACCGAGCTTCTCTCCACGCCACCCGTGTCCCGCCCTTCAGACGCACTCGTGTTTCATGATGGTCAGCTGTGGCAGATTCTGGTCAGGAACCTGAAAGCTCATGCGGGCACAGATGTCCTTGTAGTCTTGGTTGCGCTGCTCGAAGTTCTCCACGTGGGCAGCCAGGTGGGAGTTGACGATGCAGAAGCTGGTATTGTGGAAGACGAATCTGACAGCCACACCGCCCTTGTTGCCCTGCGGAAGTCCCGGCGGAAGCAGCGAAGGGAGGAAAGAAGGAAGAGCAGAAGGAAGCGTTGGAAAGAAAGAAAAGAAATTATAAGCTGATAACGGCAGCTTCTGATAAAGAAAATTTATATAAAACGTTTCGCAGATGGCACCTGCCAGCAGCAAGATTGGCAAAAATGTTTAAAAATATGTCAGGTAGACGTTGGAAATGTAAACACAAGTCAGGTACTTATTACCACGCATGGTGGACATGTGTTAAAGCAGTGGTTCTCAACCTTTTTAATGCCGCGACCCCAACCGGTCGTAAGTCGAGGACTAAACCGGTCATAAGTCGAGGACTAAACCAGTCGTAAGTCGAGGACTAAACCGGTCATAAGTCGAGGACTAAACCAGTCGTAAGTCGAGGACTAAACCGGTCATAAGTCAAGGACTAAACCAGTCGTAAGTCGAGGACTAAACCGGTCGTAAGTTGAGGACTAAACCGGTCGTACGTCGAGGACTAAACCGGTCGTAAGTCGAGGACTACCCAACCGGTCATAAGTCGAGGACTTTCCCTGCCCGGGAGCGCCGCACATGCGTGGTTCCGCCCCCTGCGCCGGCCGAGGTGTAGCTGGCAAGTGGCAGAGACGGAGCAGGCCGACCACCAGCTGGCCCAGCCCAAGGGAGGTAAGGCACCCGCCGGAAAAGGGGGGAAAAATGGCGGACAAAAAAAATGGCGGACAAAAAAAAATGGCGGACAGCCTTGCTTGGCGACCCCCATGAAATGGTCGATCGACCCCAAATGGGATCCCAACCCACAGGTTGAGAACCACTGTGTTAAAGCAAAGAGGTACTGGGAAAAAAAAATACATACTTGGCTAGAAAAGATGTTGGGAAAACGTGTAGATTTTAAACCTGAACTTTTTTTTATTAGGCATTATGCCAGAAAAAGATTGATAAACAAAGCATATATTTGATTTTACATGTGACAACAGCGGCGAGAATCATATTTGCACAATGTTGGAAAAACGAGGCAATACCGCCAGAGGAAGAAATAATGAAAAAAAAAAAATACTAGAACGTGCGGAAATGGACAGACTGACTACGAGGTTGAAAGAAAAAGAGGAAACAGAATACTGTCAGACTTGGCTCTTGTTTTATCAATGGCTGGAGAAAAGAATAAAGGGTTAGGAATTAAATTTGTATTAGTGAATGATAAACTCAAGACAACGCATTGCTGAAGAAGTACTATTGGATTGCATGGAAAAAAATTAATTAAAAAAGCGTGGGTTGGAGGTGGTGAGGAGGAGGAGGAGGAGGAGGAGG